GCTGAAATTAATCTTGCCTGTATACTGGCTTGAGGTTGGTCTGCCTCTAACCTTGCTCAGTCTCTCAACAGGTATAGGCCCTCTCCATAGGGTAGCTCATAATGTGCCGCTAGCTTCCCACAGAATGAACAAGTGAGATTACAAGATAGAAGTCAGCCATTTTTGTAACCTAATCCTTTTTTTTAGTGACTTTCAAACTTTTTAAATGCTAACCCACAATAAAATACAAATTGTATAATGCAATCCAGACTGACATATACATACATATATAATCTGAATAAATGCATACAAATTAACAAGTTTCAAAATACAATACTTTTATGTTACATGTAATGCTTGTGGCTATGTTTTATCTAGTTTTATTTTTTGTGTGGTTTTTTTGTTTGTTTGTTTTGTGTTTTTTGTTAATCCTCATCCGAGAAAATTTTTCCATTGATTTTTAGAAGAGAGAACAGAAAATTTTTGGAACGAAAAGAGAGATAGAAAAGTATGTGTGAGAGATACACATCAATTGGTTGCCCTTAACCAGAATCAACCCACAACTCTTCAGTCCTCAGGCCAATGCTCTATCCACTGAGCCAAACCAGCTAGAGCTCTTGTTTTTTAAAAATGCCAGTTATGACCCATTAAATTGTATTGACCACTAATGGCCACATCCTATTTGACCATGACCTCGGAAATGCTTTTGCAACATTTCTAATGTTTAAAATCACCTAGAAACACAAAAGAAGTACTATCACCATTAAGCATACACTGACTGAAATAAAAAATAGTATACAGAGACCTAAAAGCAGACTAGATGATTGCAAGAACCAAGTCAAAGATTTGGAATACAAAGAAGCAAAAAAGACTCAATCAGAAAAGAAAAAAGAATCCAAAAAGTTGAAAATAGTGTAAGAAGCCTCTGGGACAACTTCAAGCATACCAACGTCAGAATTATGGGGTCCCAGAAGAGTGAAAGCTAGACATTGAAAACCTATCTGAAGAAATAATGACCGAAAACTTCCCCCACCTGGTAAAAGAAATAGACTTACAAGTACAGGAAGCACACACAATCCCAAACAAAAGGAATCCAAAGAGGACCATATCAAGACACATCATAATTAAAATGCCAAGAGCAAAAGACAAAGAATATTAAAAGCTGCAAGAGAAAAACAGTTACCTACAAGGGAGCACCCATACAACTGTCAGCTGATTTCTCTACAGAAACTATGCAGGCCAGATGGGAATAGCAAGAAATATTCCAAGTGATGAATAGCAAGAAACTACAACCAAGATTACTCTATCCAGCAAAGCTATCATTCAGAAATGAAGTTCAGATAAGGAGCTTCACAGGTAAGAAAAAGCTAAAGGAGTTCATCGCCATCAAATTAGAATTATATGAAATGCTGAAAAGTATTCTTTAAGAAGAGGAAGACATATCTAATACATATCTATCAATAAGTGAATCTAAAAATCAAGTGAATAAAAAATCTGATGAACAAATAATCTGGTGAATATAATAGAATCAGGGCATAGAAAGGGAGTGAACTGACAATCCTTAGGGGGAAAGGGGTGTGGGGGTGCGGGAAGAGACTGGACTAAAACACCTAAGGATGAGGACAGTGGGTGGGAGGTAAGGGCAGAGGGTCGGGTAGAAACCTGGTGGAGGGGAGCTTTGTTGGGAAAAAAAGAGGAACAATTGTAATAATCTGAACAATAAAGATTTATTAAATTAAAAAAGAAAAAAGAAATGACAGCTCAATGCACCTTGAATCTGTGGACTTTGAAAACCTACCTCTTCAAACAGAGAGAGGAACTTAGGATGTTAAGATTAGGGATTTCCAGTGTTGACAAATGCAGTTATGGAGGACAGTTTAAGCAAGGATTTTGCAGAATTACAGCGTTTGCTCTGACACTAGGATCTGGGGATTTACAGTTGGCAACTTCCTTCCTGGGGGATATCTCACACCTTCTCTCCTCCCCCTCCCCCAAACTGGTTGCTTTCTTTCCTCTTGGCTCTTAGCCATTGAGGGTGCATCCCATAATACTTTTCACAGCTAATAGAACCCAAACTGGAGACTTCCTGTCCAGTTAACAAAGCATTTCTCTGCCTTCGGGACACTCTTGCCACAAAACACTAAGAAAATATTTTGTGCCTCCCCAGAGATTCACAGAGCATGTTTGCCTATGAGAGACTGAAAGGTCCCGCAGTAGAAAAACCTTTTTTAAAAAAAATCTTAGGATTTTACAAATTGATTTGTCCACAGACATTTCCTCCCTGTTTTTCCCCTACCTGCCCTAAGGCCACCCCTGGAAATAATTGTGGAGTAAATGAAATGAGTCTTTGTTTGAATCACCAGGTAACACATCTCAGACTCCAGGAACCACCACCCTCCCCCTTCTGTCCTGTCTGGTCCATCTTCCTGGACCCAGTGTCTTCAGGCCCAGGGAGAAGAGGACTGAGATATTATAGAAAACAAAAGGTCTGGGTCAATGGGCTGCCCCATTAGAAGAATTGGCACAGTTCTCAGTACTTAGCCAAGAACTGATTCTAATTCAGGCATTGCAGTGAGTCCTTGGCGGGACGGGGAGAGGGAGGGGGAGGACGAGTGAGGAGGGATGAAGGTGGAGCCCTGAGACTCTAGGAATTCCCAGCCTTCTTATCAGAGAGCCATCATGTTCCTTGTTCTTTCTTTTCCAGCTGATGCCCATGTGACAAGAACAGAAATTCATACCTCACCTCACCCCCACAACATTTCCCAGGATTGTCCTCTTCCTAGCACCATCTCTGGAGGCAAAAAGTTCCTTCCACCTTCCACTGGAATTTTCACTACCTGCTCCCATCCTGTTCCCTCTCCCGCGATCACAAACACTTTCAGTCCCAATTAAGTAAAATTTCCCAGCTGGCCAAGGCAGTTTGGGCACCCAGTGTGGCAGGGTCACAGGACAAACACCCTGTGCTGGGCCACGCTGAACAGGAGACTAGAGCCAAGGAGGAACGGTGTTGTTGCCCGAGGCTCCCACTCCCCGGAAGGAAGGCTGTGGAGGTATTGACTGGCCTCGTGGTGGTGGTGGCCACCTCCTCCACCAGGGCCAGAGGTTGGGGAAGAGGCGGCTGAGCCCATTCACAATAGTGACGACTGGCTCTGGGGACAGGCCTGGTTGCATGGGTCAGAGCCCAAAGGCCACCTGACTGATGTCCAGGCCTGCCACGGAGACCAGGGAGGCACACTGGCGACAAGCTCAGAGCTCTCCATCCAGTGCCTCAGCCTCCGCAGGCAGCAGTCACAGAGCCGAGTTGGAAGCCCTGGGGGCTGGAAGGCTGCCCAGATGAGCACAGTGAGGCGCTGCCATTGAGGTGCAGAATGAGGAGGCCCAAGAGGTTCTGGAAGGCGCCCTCCCCCACCAAGGCGGTACTGCTGCAATCCAGTTAGAGCAGACCAGCTAGGCACCAGGAGCTGCCACCCAGGTTGGGCCTGGGGAGGTTGTGCAGCCGCTGAAGGCACCTTCGGGCAGCCGGGGCCCGCCCAGCGGGTTGTCCTTAAGCAGTAGGTGCTCCCTGGCACCACAGTTGGGGAGGAGAGGGGAGGGTGGTGTTTGCAGGAGGTTGGAGGCCACCGCACATGGGTCAGGTGACCCATCACTTTTGTCATCCTTTTCATTATACCCTGTTTCCCCGAAAATAAGACAGTGTCTTATATTAATTTTTGCTCTCAAAGATGCGCTAGGTCTTATTTTCAGGGGATGTCTTATTTTTCCATGAAGAAGAATATGGTACACATTTATTGTTAAATGAAAGTAAAGGAAATTTATTACCTGTATACGGTACGGTAGTACGGACGTTGTCAACACAAACCAGACAAACTGTGAATCCTACAGTATCAAGAATTTACTCATTTATTCAATGACAAGCATGTCATCATCTTCTGGAACATCATCATAACAATCCAATTCCTGAATTTCCTGGTAAATTTCTTGTGACTCCATTTCTTTCAGAATCAGTGGACCAAATCTCTCCTGTTTAGCCTGGGGGGGAGTGGGGGGACAGGGGCTTATTTTCAGGGGATGTCTTATATTTCACTCAGAAGGAAACCTGTAAGTAGGTCTTATTTTCGAAGGATGTCTTATTTTCGGGGAAACACGGTAGTAATAAGTAAGTCACCAGATCCAGTCCACACTCCAGGGTTTGAAACCAGGAGATGGGATTTTTTGGGAACTTCTTACAAAGTCAAACTTAATTTGAAAATAATGATTCTGTATAATAACATTGTATAATATCTACAATGTTATACCATGCATAATAAATATCTACAATGTTATACCATGTATAATAAATATCTACAATGTTTTACCATGTATAATAAATATCTACAGTGTTATACCATGTATAATATCTACAGTTAGACGCCCCGCTGCGGCGCCTGTGGGCTCGGGAGGAGCCGGGCTCAGTCTGCCCCGCCGCCCGAGCTCAAGTGCCGCAGCCGAGGCGCGTGAGCAGCCGCTCGGTTCGTGGGGACGCCCCGCTTCTCCAGCCTCTGCCCAGGGCTGCCCTGCCCCGGGGCTGTTCTGCCCGGCGGCGGCTGCGGAGGCCTCGGTGCCCGCCGCGGGGGCCGCAGGGCTGGCGCTGGGTCACCGCGGGGCCCGGTGACGTGCGCCGCGGCCCGGCTCCCCGTTTGTGCGGTGGTGGGGACGGCCGGCCGGGCGGAGGAGCCTAAGCTTCAAACGCAAGGAGTTGATCCCTAGAGGAGTTTTGGGGTGTGCGGGGGGGACGGCACAGTGTTCCGGTGGGTGTAGCCTTTGTGAGGTCCGGAGGGGAGGAACCTGATGGAACTTTCCTTGTGATGTGGCTGGCATGGAGGGGTGGATGGCACGGTCTTGGGACGGAGACTTGGGTGGAGTGAGGACTCAGCTCCCCTGTGCTGCCCGCCTCCAAGAGGACACTCGGCTGGGGGGGCACCCGTCTCACCTCCAGAACCTAAGATTTCAAAGCCCGCGGGCGGCCCAGTAAGTGCGGGACCATGCAAGCGCGCGAGCTGCTGCGAAACATCCGGACCCCAGAACTGGCTGACTTCCGACAGTACCTCCGCACGCTGCCCACCCACTCGCTCCTGGCCTTCGGCAGCGCCTTCGCGGCTCTCACTGCCCTGTGGTATGTCATGAGGTCCAGGAGCCCCAAGACACCGGCAGGCCTCTCCATGCAGTCGGTGGAGGTGGCGGGCACCGGCGGCGCCCGGAGATCCGCGCTCCTGGACAGCGACGAGCTCCTGGTGTACTTGTACGATGACGTCCGAACCGTGCACGAGAGCTTCCAGAGGGGCGTCCGCATATCCATGGACCGCCCTTGTTTGGGTTTTCGGAAGACAGGCCAGCTCTACGAATGGCTTTCCTACCGGCAGGTGGCGGAGATGTCCGAGTGCGTGGGCTCCGCCCTGGTCCACAAGGGCTTCAAGGCCGCACCCGACCAGTACATCGGCATCTTCTCCCAGAACAGGCCCGAGTGGGTGGTCATTGAGTACGGATGCTTTGCTTACTCGATGGTGCCCGTTCCCCTCTACGACAACCTGGGTAGGGAAGCAGTCACTTACATAATCAACAGTGCTGAACTCGCCCTGGTCTTTGTGGACAAGCCAGAGAAGGCCAACCTGTTATTGGAAGGCGTAGAGAATACGTCGACCCCAGGCCTCAAAATCATAGTCGTCATGGACTCCTATGAGAGCGATCTGTTGGAACTCGGCAACAAGTGCGGGGTGGAGATCATCAGCATGAAGGCCATGGAGGACCTGGGAAGAGCCAACAGACAGAAGCCCAAGCCTCCGGCTCCTGAAGACCTTGCAGTAATTTGTTTCACAAGTGGAACCACAGGCCACCCCAAAGGGGCAATGCTCACTCATCGCAACATAGTGAGCAACTTCTCAGGGATTTTGAAAGTGACAGAGGGGGCCATTGGCCTGAACGCCAGTGACACACTCATTTCCTTTTTACCGCTTGCACACATGTATGAGCAGCTCTTGGAGAGCGCGATCCTGTGCCACGGGGCGAGAATAGGGTTTTTCCAAGGAGATATCAAGCTGCTCATGGATGACCTCAAAATGCTTCAACCCACCATCTTTCCTGTGGTCCCGAGGTTGCTGACCCACATGTTGGACAGAATTTGGGGAGAGGCAAACACCATACCGAAACGGCTGCTACTGGACTTCGCCTCCAAGAGGAAACAAGCAGAGATTCGCAGAGGCGTCATCAGAAACAACAGCCTGTGGGATACACTGATCTTCCGCAAAATACAGTCAGAGCTGGGAGGGAACGTCCGGCTGATGATCACGGGGGCTGCGCCCGTGTCAGCCAAGGTGCTGACGTTTATGCGAGCGGCGCTGGGCTGTCAGTTCTATGAAGGCTATGGAGAGACTGAGTGCACAGCCTGCTGCTCCATGACCATTCCCGGAGAGTGGACTGCAGGCCACGTCGGTGCCCCGGTGCCTTGCAATCTGATAAAACTCGTCGACGCGAAAGAGATTAACTATCTGGCTGCCAACGGCGAGGGCGAGGTGTGTGTGAAGGGAGCAAACGTATTTCAAGGCTACCTGAAGAACCCGGCGAAAACAAAAGAAGCTCTGGACGGAGAGGGCTGGCTGCACACCGGGGACATTGGGAAATGGTTACCGAATGGGACCTTGAAGATCATCGACAGGAAGAAGCACATATTTAAACTGGCACAAGGAGAATACATAGCCCCCGAAAAGATCGAGAATATCTACCAACGGAGCGAACCCGTGGCGCAGGTGTTTGTCCATGGAGACAGCTTGGAGGCATTTCTCATAGCCGTCGTGGTCCCTGACGCGGAGGCGCTGGGCCGCTGGGCGAGGAAGCGAGGCCTGGCGGGATCCTTCGAGGAGCTGTGCTGCAGCAAGGAAGTCAATAAAGCCATCCTAGAGGACTTGGTGAGGCTGGGGGAGGAGTCTGGCCTGAACGCAATAGAGCAGGTCAAAGGCATCACTCTCCACCCTGAACCGTTCTCTGTCGAAAACGGCCTTCTGACCCCGACAATGAAGGCAAAAAGGCCCGAACTTCGGAGTTATTTCAAGTCACAGATAGAAGAGCTTTATTCCACCATCAAAAATTAAGGGAGGGGGAACGGTCAGAAGAAACCACACACCCCCACAATCTTCTTCTCCTGGTGGCTTTCGCGTTGGCAATTTGACTACACGAGCATAGGGAATAAAGGGCACGCCTTGTTTGTCGTGCGCCTTGGATTCTTGTCATAGGAATATTAGAGGAAGCGGGGCTCTGCCTTGCAGTCACCTCCATGGCAGATCGTGTACCCACGTGGCGATGCACCATTTCCAAAACGAGCCTTAACAATAGCCAAGGGAAACTATACCTGTGCTAAGTTATTTGTGACTTCCTTAGTTCAGAAGGTGGATGTGGAACTTCTATCTCCCTGTTTTCTAACCAAGGGACTAGGACTGAATGTCTGCTGCTTGCTGCAATCTTTGCAGTCGATGGCTGCTCGAAAGAATACGTGCACTGGAAGGAAACTCTCCCTTACAAACAACCAGCCCAACTGGAGAACGTCACAAGTGGTCCAGAGATTTTTTTTTTTCTCTCCTCCCTGTCAGCTCCCCTTCCCCACCCCTTCCCCACGCTCATGTCTCTTTGAATGAAGGCTTCTTAAACACCTGCTCTTCCTCTCACTCCTTTATTGTTCCTTTTGGAGCCAAAGGTTCCCAGCAAAGTGCAGGACAGACGAACTCAGGACAATGTAGTTAACGAGTCTCATTCACGGGCCACTCCCAGGGTGAATGGATTCTGGTGCTCTCGGGACCTTCTCTCCAGACTCTCCCTCCCTCTGTCCCTGGGCTTAGGAGAAAATCTGCCTTATACTCGACAGTGAAGACAAGCATTTCAAGAAAGAAAGAATCAACTGTGAAGCCTAAGTAACTGTCCACTTTATCTCCACTGAATATCCCTCAGTTTGTAATGGCCAACGGGTTTTGAATGTGGTTTTCATATCAGAAGTTCCCATTGTGATTAACTGGCTTTCCCCCAGAATAAACTCTCAGGCAAGATGCGTCTCCAAGGCCATAAGGAAGTGCATAGATGTGGGTACTAATCGAAATGGATGCTAATAAACTTGCTCTCCTGCCATCATGCTTCCTGGCTCCTGTGAAATGTTTCGGCAAGCCACATTCTTGGGAGTGGAAGTCCAAACACTCATTTCCTGGGAGTCATTCCTCCCAGGATTTCTTTAATTTGGGAAATTAGCAGCATTTCACATACCAAAAACCTTTGCCACATGTGACTGGAGTAAGTTGTCATGATGCACTTGAAGCAGTCGCTTCTGGGTGTGAGTACACTTGGTGTACAGCACAGGGGTTTGCCCTCAAGTCATCATAATAGCCTAACTGCGTGTGTGTGTGTGTGTGTGTGTGTGTGTGTGCAAAAAAAAGTCAATAACTTGCCACATTGGTGGTTTTGAATGTTTGCATTACTGTGTTGACTATTTCTGTTTTATAAGCCAAAACAGAATTTCCGAAAACAATGAAGGAAACCAAAATATTTCTGCATTTTAAAAAAAAGAAGGCTCATGCACTAAAACTTCCATCTTTTAGTTGATGCCTAAAATTCCAGAGGGCCAATCCTTGAGTTTAAGGGTTTAGTTAGTAAAATATAGACTATCAGACTGTCAAGGGAGAATTTCTCTTTGGGACTGAATAATAACTACTATATTTTTATACTGTACTTATCTAAAAGTGAGAATACTGTATTTGCTCCAAATCCACTTTGGGTAAAGAGGGTAGGCAGAGAAGGTAGAAATGGAAACAGGACAGACCTGGTAAGTACACATAAAACAAAAACAGAACATTTTGTAATTAGCCTAGCATCAGACCACCTGTTGGTGGTAGATTAGCTCAATTTTCTCAGATTACAAATATATACTGACAGTTTAATTTTGGTACTATTTGTTTTTTGATCTTTTTAAATTAATGTTTGGGATTTTTTCCCCCTGTTTTACATTAAAAGGCCATGATTGCAAGTGAATATTACAAATTAATTTCAAATACTTTTCCTCATTTTCTATACCTACTCCTGTGATCTTAATTTCTATTTTTATGTATTTGCTCATGCTAATGTAAAAACATTCAAACCTGTAACGAACTTTTGTGAGTTTATTTGAGCCAAAATGTCCACAATTGCTGGGAAGCAGAATCTCAATGGATCGGGATGATGGCAGTTTATCGCCTTGTTTTGTACATTACAATCAAAGGAAGAGATGTAAGTGGGTTAGGTGAAATCCCTTGGTGATAGATTAGGAAGGCGAGAGAAAGCAAAGGGGTGGGGGGAATCTCTGGGATTGGATTAAAAAGTAAAATGATAGACACATACTTCTTTTACATAGGTGGGTATAGGATAGTTAACAGTCAACAATTAGCAATAATGAAGGAATTTATAGTTTCAAGTCCTGGCCGCCCAGGCATATTTGGTTGTGCCCTGAATGGTCCTGAAAAAAAGGAAGTTATACGTTCCCTGACATTTCACAAATATGTTATCTTAGATACAAAAAGATAATAGGCTCAGTTAAGGTAAAGATTGACCTTAATCAGGGAAGATACTGGCCTAGGACATCTATATAATAAAAGCCCAGCAACCATTATAGTGGAATGGCTAGAACGACTGGTTGCTATGACAAGCTGGCCGCAGGAGTTGCCACCAGCGCCACTGCCGAGCCCAAGGGCCCCCCGGGCCAGTTGCGCAGCCACTGCCAAGGCGCTGGTAAAGAAAAATGTGAAGTTGCCGAAACTGGTTTGGCTCAGTGAATAGAGCATTGGCCTGTGGACTGAAAGGTCCCAGGTTCGATTCCGGTCCAGGACATGTACCTTGGTTGTAGGCACATCCCCAGTAGGGGTGTACAGGAGGCAGCTGATCGATGTTTCTCTCTCATTGATGTTTCTTACTCTCTATCCTTCTCCCTTCCTCTCTGTAAAAAAAAAAAAAAAAAAAAAATCAATAAAATATATATTGGAGAAAAAAAAAGAAAAAAAGAATGTGAAGTTGGCCAGCATGAACATGCAGCTTGAGATGAAGGCTTTTGGGGATGGATTCAATCAGCTGGGGACCGAGATGATTGTCACCAAGGCTTGCAGGTCAGGGTGCCTTTCTCCCCTCCCCGCGTGGTGCCAGCCTCGGGCAGCAGGCTTTGGCTGGATCTACACGAGTAAGTGTGCAAGTGGGATGTGGGGTACAGCCTGGCCATCTGCAGGTCCCTCTTGGTGCAGGCCAGCTCCTTTGATCTCTGAGTCCCAGCTCTAGCAACAGCCGCCTGGCACACTGGATAGGAGGGGGGCCAGATGGTGGAAAGAAACCCTGTGGACCTGCAACCCAACCAGCAGCCCAAGACCTGGCACTGCCAGAAACAGACCGGCTCAGAGCACACCGAGCTTGTGGGGAAGGCAGCCGCCTGTGAGGGGCTTTGTCACCAGCAGGCTCCCTGTGGATCCTACCTCAAAAGAAACTCGGTCTTTGGTTACTTTAGTTCAGTCTTTCCTGGCTAAAGAGGAGCAGCAGTACACATTTTAGGGGAGGATTAAGACTCTAAAATAGTGTATTCTGTTCCATGGAGATTGCTACCCAGTTGTTTTAGGCCTAAATTCCAAGTGATTGTGGGGCCCGGGTCTTCCAATTGGCCTGTATTTGCTATAAGGGCCCAAAGAGGAGAAAGGGAAAATCACTGAATAACCGTGGCTTAAAAAAGACAAGTGTTTCTCTCATGTGAAACAGGCCTAGAACTAGTCTAAGACTGACATGGCAGCTCCACCAGTTGTCTGGGATCCATGCTTTTTTCTTTCTCGTGCCTCTGCCATCACCAAAGTGGCACAAACTTGCTGCTTGCAAACCAGATAGCACACACTACTTTTCAGGGTGTAAAATGAAGTTAAAGAATGCAAGGGAAGACCTCGCCAGTTTGGCTCAGTGGGTAGAGCATCAGTCCACAGACTGAAGGGTCCCGTTGGCGGTGCCAGGTCTGGGCTGCTGGTTGGGTGGCAGGTCCACAGGGTTCCACTCGGGTCAAAGGCAGGTTCCCCTGACGTGAACAAGGTGCATGCAGGACGCAACCAGTGGATGTGTTTTTATGTTTCTCTCACATTGATGCTTCTGTCTCTCCCTCTCCCTTCTACTCTTTCTAAAAATCAATGGACTTAGGTAAGGATTAACCAAAAGAAGAAGAGGGAGAAAGAGGAGGTGAGGGGGGAGGAGGAAAAGGAGGAGAAAGGTGGGAAGGAAGAGGGGAGAGGGGGAGGGGAGAGAAAAGGGGGAAGGAAGGAGGAGGAGGAGGCAAGGGAAGACATCCTAGCTTTTAAGATGTTCCTTAAGAACTACACAACACTCAATTTATATATAATTGCCCAAAATTTAGCCACATCTGGCTGCAAGGGAAACAATGAAAGGAGCTATTTAGCTGAGTGGCAGTGTGCCCACTGAAAAATCTGTGTTTTGTAAGGGTGGAAAAAGGTTTTCTGTTATGAATGTAGAAAAGAATACATTTAGTGAGGCACTCATCCTTTCTCACTTCCAACAATATCCATCTACTTCTTCAATCCCTTTCCATTCCCCTCAAACTTTCTAGCTCTCCATCCTTCATCCTAAAAGAGATCCAAAAGCTTCTATTGATTCAGGTCCTTCTCTCCCCTTCACTGCAAGGCATTTTTTTTTTTTTTTTTTTGTCACTCTCCTTACAATTTCTATAACATTTCTTCTTTTCTGCTTATTTCCAGTCCCTAGTCACCATCTCCCCTTTAGGTTATATATCTTCCTAACTAGTCTGAGTTCCTAGGAAATTTAACAAATATCTTTACCGCAACCAATCCTTTGAATTTAAATTCTATTTTATTTATATTTAACTTCACAAATACAAGATTTTTTTTTTAAATGTACGTAATGCAAACCTCTCTCTCGGCCACACCCCAGGCTACATTAAAACTTTCGAATTTGCCGAAAGCATGGAGCAGGGGAAACGGGGACGAAGGCCTCTGTCGCGGCGAGTGTCACCGCGCCCACAACGCGCCTCGCTGCGGAAGGATGGGACGCGCGGAGGAACGCCCAAAGCCGGTCCCCGGGAATCCCGCGGAATCTCGCCCCGCCGCAACTCCGCGGGCGGGCGGAGGGTAGGGAAGAGGCTCTCGCGAGATCCGCAATTCTCGCGGGAACCGAGAGCGAGACCTGTTCTCTGACGCACTTCCGGGGCTCCGGAACCGAGACCGGCCAGGTGGCAGCCAGCCTGAGAGATGGTGGTCACCAGGTCCGCGCGGCCTCGGGCCGACATCCAAGCTACGTCGCCCGAACGCTCCAGGCGGAAGGTAGGAAATAGCGAGGCTCCCTCAAGTCTGCTCGCCGCTTCGCAGAGTGGCTCCCAGTGAGGGGCAGGGGGCGGCGTCAGTGTCCCGCGCAGTGTGTGTGGGGGGCGGGGGGCCGGGGGCCCTGATGCTGGAGCATCAGGACGGGCCTGCCGCGCGTAGCTGCGCACCGGCCGCCGCTGAGCTTGTCACTTCCTTGGCTGTCTTTAAGGCGGCCCTTAGTGTGGAGCCGAGAGGTTAGTTAACTTGCTTCGGGTAGCTCAGCTCCAGTGCACATGAACAGCTCAGACTTTTTAACTTTACTAGTAACACCGTACTAAGGATTTATTTTGGCCACCAAGCGTGAGCTGATTTAGCGGGTTTGGAGTGAAGGGCTCCTTTTCTCATGGGGAGGTCGGCGGTGACCCCACAGCACCCCCTTTTGGCGTGGGGAGGTCTACGGTGATGCCGCCTGGTGGCGCCAGGTGTTGCTGCCTCGGATTCTGTGATGAAGGAAAATTCTGTGATGAACGTTAAACGTATGCAAAGGTGAGGGCAGCGACCAGTTCTATTGGTGTGTGTTCCTAAACATATCTTTGCCCAGAGATAATAGTCTCCTTATTTTCTCTTCCCCTTATGTTTCGGAATATGGGTTCACCTAGAATATTTGACATTTTTAGGTGTAGAAATATTTTCTATTATTATTATTATTATTATCATCATCATCATCATTATTTTGCTCTCTAAAGCCAGACTCAAGGACTTGGGTGAGGCGAGTGAAGCAGGGCCCTGCAAATGCAGGGACAGATACAGCATGTAAGTTTTTTTTTTTTTAAATAATGGATGGTGATGTTGGGTTTTGTGTTTATCTAGTTTACTGAGGCTTTTTTTTTTTTTTTTTTTTTTTTTAGTGCTTCTAGTTTACTTAGTTTTTTTAGTGCTGTCTTAAAATTTGGTCCTGAGGGTAGCACCTCACTCACCTTGCCCATGTCCTATTAACAGTGTGCGTTCTCTGGCTTACAGAATTCTGAAAGAATTCAGTCGAATCCAAAAGGCAGGAAGGAATCTCCATCTGATGACTCAAGTACTGCTGAATCACAGAGCAATAGGAAACAAAGACCAACCCCTAAAACTGGGAAGAGGAAGAGCAGAACTAGAGCCTCACTATCAGAAATGAACAAACCAGATACTGATGGAGAGACCTCTGAAGCAGAGTCAAGTTTTTGTTCTGTATCTGAGCCCCAGAATTCCATTTTAAGAATAACTAGGAGGAGGCAAATCTTAGTTGCATGCACCCCAGTGTCCAGTGTTAGGAAAAGGCTGAAAGTAACTTCAATAAGTGAGTCTCATACTGAAGAAGAAGTCTCTGAAGCAGAATCGCATGTTTCAGGTATTTCTAGAATTGTGCCTTCTACAAGAACCAGAAGTAAGGCTAAATCCCTAACAGAGCCAAGCCAAGAATTACATTCAGAAGCTATTTCTGATGCTGAATCATCATGCTCAGAAATGTCTACATTTTCTGGAATTTCGACCAGAACAACAAGGAGTATGCAGAGGAAATTACAGGCACAAACAGAGGAGAAAGATACTGAAATTATACCAGGAAATGACAATCAACTAATAAATACATCTATGAATTCAGATACTAGACAAACTTCTTGTTTACAAGCAAGATCTCTTTCTCAGATAAATAAGCCAAATTTCTCTAATGAAATCTGTAATGACATGGATAATGATTCCTTCCATGGAAAGTCAAGAAAAAAAACAACAGTGCAAAAATGCCAACGTCTTAATATAAAAAAGGAAAAACAGGCCAATGTTGCACCTCTCAAAGAAATAACAAAGCAGAATTGTAAGAGTTTAGATGAAGAAGCTGAAGGAAGGATAGATAAGGGGAAAGAAATTGAGAAAAATTCTGAGTTGAGTTTTCCTGAACTTCAGGACACTGGCCTTCAGCAGTTAGTTTCTCAAAGGCATTCGACCCCCCAAAATAACAAAACTACATCAAAGCCCTCAAGTCTGAACTCTGAGGCTATAATGAAATCATTAGCTCAAACATTTGCAGTTGTGGAAATAGACAGATGGACTGAAGAGAGAAAGCGCACCCCAAAAAGAAGTGACTTCACATCTAGCGATGACGGTGGTAGTGATGAAGAAGAGTGCACAATTATCGCTGATAGTGAGGACGTGAATGAGGAAAGAGAAGGAGGTTTTGTGGGTGATACCAAACTGTACAAGTCTGAGCTCAACACATCCCAGGATGATTCTGTTTTGTTACTTCTCAGCAGTGATGAAAGCCAGCAGTCTGAAAACAGTGAGGTTGAAGAGGACACTATGTGTTTTGTTGAAAATAGTGTTCAAAAGGGCTCATTACATGGAGACTCAGAAAATAAGTTATGTGACAATGCATTGTTTGTAATTGACACAACTCCTGGATTAAGTGCTGATAAAAATTTTTACTTGGATGAGGAAGACAAGGCAAGTGAGGTTGCCATTGAGGAAGAAAAAGAAGAGGAGGATGAAAAAACTGAAGAACCATCAGACCAAGATGAAAATGAAGATGAGTTTAGTGATGAAGATGACTTACTAAGTGGCACAACGTCTAAGCTGTAAGTCTTGCCCTTATTTTAAAAAGTGAGTTTTTGATACATATTTCAAGTGGCTAATTTACCATAAAAATATAAAATATTAAAAAGCCAGGGAGTTGAGAAAATTATTGCCTTGAGTTCTATATGGAAGCGCTCTTTTACCCAGAATTTCCTTCATTTATCTGGATACCTATGTTAATCATATTTTTTCCAACAGTGATAGCTAAAAGTGCTTCTTTTGGTAATACATTAAGTCATTTGTTAGTATTTTCCTGCATGATTGTTAGTAGCAATATAAAAGGGAAGAAAAAGAATTTCTTTTTTACTATATGTTGATTGTAGAGAAGCTGAAAAATAAAGAAAAGCCATCTATCACCCACTGAAAGGCATTAATGTTTAGGGCTACTTCTTTAGTTTCTTTTTCTCTGCTCTAAATTTGTTTTTTCCAAGTACAGGCCGTGGTACCAGTGTAGCCATAAAATACAGGCATCCTAATAAGGAATTACATATTAATGGATGCCTAGTGAAATCAGTCTGAGGATAAACTTAGGCAATTTTATTTTTTAAAAGCCACGGTCCTCCATAGTAGTATAATTATAACGTACATTCAGGTTTGAGAATTTAAAGATACTGCAATAGAATGATTTCACTTTCCAGTAAAGGTTGATTATCAAAACTTTTAGCTGCTCTGTTTATATGAATAATTAGGAAAGAAAGAGACTTAAGTCCAAGTATACTTGCTTATAAAAAGGACTTCTCAGTAGTATAAAGTAGAAATTCTCATTACATTAATATAGTAGGACCCCAGGCCAATAGCAGAAGAGTAGTTTGTTAGATCTGGAGAAAGATATATTTTTTAAAAAGTTCCTGTGGGAAATATGGATGCTCATCTGTTTAAAACTTCCTTGGTTTAGCGGCACTACCAAATCCTTTGGTTACCCAGAATATTCTGAGTTTGGATAACTTGAAAATTCAGAGTAGAAGAATCTTTCTCATTGGTTTTATTTAAAAAAAATTTTTTTTCAGATGGGTAGGAGATTTATTGGGATAATCACTTTGTAAGCTATATAACAATGTTTAATCATGGGGTATACACCTGAAGCTAACATAATAGTTATATCAACTGTAATTGAAAAATAAAAAAATTTTTTTTAGCCAAAACCGGTTTGGCTCAGTGGATAGAGCGTTATTTTTAATTTTTATCAGAGTTATTATCTCACTGGTTTTAGAGATGAAAGTATGTACATTTATTCACTCACTACCTACATATTGAGTTGAGCCAAATTGCCAGTGGCAGCTCTTCTTTTCTGTAATTCTTTTCTTTATAAAAATCCTGTTAAGAAATCTATTGGCATATTATATGGCTTAATCCTCTTAAAGAAAATCTGGAGAATAAATTTGCATGTGCCCCCCAAAAACTTTTTTTGTTTAATTTATTATTCATCCCAGAATTTTTTTTTTAAAATATATTTTATTGATTTTTTTTTATAGAGAGGAAGAGAGAGGGATAGTTAGAAACATCGATCAGCTGCCTCCTGTACACCTCCTACTGGAGATGTGCCCATAACCAAGGTACATATCCTTGACTGGAATCGATCCGGGGATCTTTCAGTCCTCGCTATCCACTGAGCTAACCCAGTTAGGGCCCAGAATTTTTTTCTTAATGTCTTTTACTAGATTATGTATTTTTTCAGATTTTTAAAACTTCATTGTGAAGATAGGATCTGTTTTGATCGTTGACAGTAAAAGGGGAGAGAAGGGGGAAAAGTGATTTTTGAGCCCTGGCCAGATTGGCTTAGTGGATAGAGCATAAGCCTGCAGACTGAAGGGTCCCAGGTTCGATTCCGGCCAAGGGCACATGCCTGAGTTGCGAGCTCGATCCGGGTTGGGGGTGTGCAGGAGACAGCTGATCAATGATTCTCTCTCATCATTGATGTTTCTATCTCTTTCTCCTCCCTTTCTCTCTGAAATCAATAAAGAAATATATATATTTTTAAAAAGTGATTTTGAAATAGTCTCAATTGTTTCCATTTTGATTTAATTACTTGATCTTTAAGTGATCGTTTCTCTTTCAGTCTGAAGTTGACAAGCAGCAGCATAGACCCTGGTCTGAGTATCAAGCAGTTGGGTGGTTTGTATATAAATTTTAATGCAGACAAACTACAATCAAACAAGAAAACCCTAACACAGATCAAGGAGAAAAAGAAAAATGAGGTCAGTTACATAGAACCAGCCAATTACTTGTAGAAGTGATTAGTACTTGATAAGATACCAATTTTCCCACAGTGAAATCACATCAAGCCTGCTATGCTCCTTTTTTCCTTCTTTCCAGAACAATCGTTACTTTTTTTTTTTTTTTATGAAGTCCTATTTGCAAAGGATGACTCTCTTGCACCCACCAGTTATGATCCCAGGGGGAGTTATATTTTATTTTCTTGCTATACTTTTAGTTCTTAACTGTTCTGGACTGTGATGAGAATCTGAAGGTTGTGAGTGCCTGCCTCCCTCACCAGAAAAATACTTAAAATTGTACATTTAATTTCAGAAGAAAATCATAGGGTAGCTTTAGCCATCCCCTTGCACAGCTGCACATTTGTATTTTCTAGCCTTGCTGCCTCTTCAGGTCTTTCTTCAAGACTTCAAATCCAGGTGCCTGTTGTCTGTTCATTCAATATGTGCTCAGGCACTTGACCTCACTAATTGCCATACTTCTTTAGTTCCTGCCTGAACCAGCTCCTCCTCTTGTATTCTCTATCATGGTTAATGATGCCAAAATCTTTCCATTTTGCAATCAGAAATCATAGGCTACGAGGCTTCTTAAATACTTTTCTACTCTGTTCTCTCCTTTCACCTCTGTCACTGGCACATGCAGGCCTTTAGACTACTGCAATAGCCTTCTTACTCATTGTTCTTCAAGCTATTCTCCATATTCTTTCTAGATTTCCTAAAAACGTAAATCTGAGCATGATATTCTGTTAAGTTTTTCAGTGGTTCCTCAGTTTTTAAGGTGCCTTCATTACTTCAACTTTATTCACTTGCTGTGTTCTTGCCAAGAGACTTCTATAGTTACCTAAACATACCGCAGTCTTTCCCAGGATAATGGAGAGATAGATCACTGTCTTTGAGAAACGTTCTTTGACCCTAGCGCTTCCCCTAACCTCCTTTGTGTGTCTGCGACACCTAGTATCAATTGAATCCATTATTAATCGTTATTTTATTATTAATTTAATCGTTATACAATTGTTATTTTATTGTCTTTTATTTTTGTATTCCTAAAACAGGGTTTCTCAACCTCAGGATATTTGCATTTGGACTGGAGAATTCTCTGTTGTGGGAGAGCGCTGCGCATTATAGGATGTCAGGCTTGGCCTCTACCCACTAGGTAGCATCCACACCCCACACCATGTACACACACATTCACTAACGCCAAAAATGTCTTCAGACATTGCCAATTCTCCCAATGGAGAACCACTGTCTTAAACCCTAGTATGATACTTGACACACAACAAGTTCTTAATAATTTGTTAAACGGCTGCTCTCTTTTCTGAGTGATAGGAAAGTCTAGACTGCTACTGTACTATCCAGAAACTTCTAACCCTAAACCTGAATTGGGGATGTCTGGATTAATAATTGATTTTACATGTTATTAACCAAATTAATATATTCTGTATTCCTATAACTAACATGAGAACAAAGAATGGTCTTTTTTTAGTTCTTACACTGGGAGAAATTACTAATTACCCTAAGGCTTCTTTTAGTCACATAAATGGTATTTATTATAATATTTAATTATCCTAGGCAAAAAGATAAAAAATGGAGAAGTAATTTAGGAAAATTAACAGATTTGACTGACTACACAAATTTTTTTAAAACTTAACATGTTAAGCGCCATGTCAGTCACCAGTGACTCACACTGTACTTTCATTCAGACCTCCTCAGTCACTGATGCAGCCAAAATATTGGTGAAATCAGATATTGTGGGCCAAAGGGAAAAGAAGACAAAACAGGTTTGGCGCTTACTATGTTAAGCAATTAAAAACACCTTAAAGACAAGTAAAGGACCACATTCATATCACTAAGATACAAAATACATTTCTATAAATTAGTAAGAACACAACCCTAATTTAAAATTAAAAAACAAAAAAACTACTAAGGCATTCCCATAGAAGAGGACTTGATGTGTAAAGATGATCAACAATAAATGAAAATAGCTAAGAGACATCACTGACAACATACAAGAAGATAATACCCAGTGTTGGTGGCAATACAAAGATAAGGGCTCTAATTAGCTGTTGGTACAAGTTTATACTATTTGAATGCAAGGCAATTTAGCATTACCTGTATAATTTTTAAATAACACATTTTGGAATTTGTTTTATAGAAGTAATCACAAGTGTTCAGAGGTGGTGTTTATAATGACTAATGGAAAAATGTTTAATAGAAACGGTTAAAACTAAATGTCAGAAGGAAACCTGTGTTGAATACAGCTATTAAGAAAATTGTTAACTTGTGTATTCATTGACATTGAAAGATATCTGAGGTAATCTGAGATATACTGGGTTGAAAAAAGCAGATTTGACTAGATAGGATGATCTCATTAATATAACATAAAAGTATATGTTGTTGAATCAAAATCTGTATCACATACTTAATAGTCTAGCCCCGTGGTCGGTAAACTGCGGCTCGCGAGCCATATGTAGCTCTTTGGCCCCTTGAGCGTGGCTCTTCCACAAAATACCACAGGCTGGTCTATTTTGAAGAAATGGCGTTAAAAGAAGGTTTAAGTTTAAAAATTTTGGCTCTCAAAAGAAATTTCAATCGTACTGCTGATATTTGGCTCTGTTCCCTAATGAGTTTGCCTGTTTCCTCAGATTACAAGCTGTTTAACAACATCAAAAGAACTTACTAAAAACCAGTAAGGTTTTCTTTAGGGATTTCAAGAACCATTGTGGTATTGTTCCTATTATTTTTATTTTCCAGTTGTTGGGTCCAGGTGGCTGGTTGCACACCAATAATAACAAACGGACACAGTGTAAATCCAATATGTGTTTAATTCAGATTAGTAAAAGAAAGTTGAACTGGTCAATTTCATAGATTTCCTAAAATAATCCTTCAATTTGCTTTCTAAAACATTTTTTTAATATATTTTATTGATTTTTTACAGAGAGGCAGCCAGGGGAAGGAAGGCCTCTTGCATGAATTTTGTGCATTGGGCCTCTAGTTGTAATATAATATACAAATTTAAAGACAGGTACAACTTTGCATAAAGAAGGTTAATATAGCCCGGCCAGTGTTGTCCAGTGGTTGAGCATTAACCTGTGCACCAGGAGGTCACCAGTTCAGTTTCCTGGGCAAGGCATATGCTTATGTTACACACTCCACCCCAATGGGGGGTGTGCAGGAGGCAGCTGATCGATGTTTGTATCTCCCTTCCTCTCCCCAAAATCAATAACATTTTTTTTAAAGGTGAATATATAATATTTGGAGTAGTCTTCAGTCTGAGAGATGTTTCCGAGAGATGTTTCCGTAATAAGGCAAAAAATGATGAAAAAGTTATATGACATTTTGTAATTTTAGAACAAATTTAATATTTTCACAGATTATGCAGAAAGCCATCATTACTCCTGATTTTGAAAAAAACTACTGCGTCCCACCATATCGTGAATCAAAACATCAGCTTCAAAAACAACGCAGAGTAAGTACAATGGCTCATTATTTACAATGTTTAGATATGTTCAATTCATATATGACAGGGTTATACAACTAAAATATATATGTATACATACATATATATATATATATATATATATATATATATATATATATATTTTTTTTTTTTTAAAGAAAATTGTTACGGATACCCCAAGGGCTTATAAAATGTGGTTCCATAAACATGTTTTATATGGATTTTTACAAAGTGAAAGTGCACTGATTGGTGCACATAGGTATAACTTTTTTCCTAGTTAATGACAATTACCATGCAAGATCACTGTCTATTCCTCTAGGCTTATGCTACCATTCACTAAAGGCCAAGAACTGTTTGTCTGTTGTAGTATGTTGTAGGGAACTTAATGTAGCCAGCTAAAAATCTGACCTATTTAATCTACCAAATGAACTGGTTTCTTCAATAGAATATGGTGGGGTGGGGGTGTTTTCTTCCATCTGACATTTCAACTGATAAGCATAAAGAAGTTATCAAGAGAGTTTGGAAGAAATTTAAGGAAGGTGCTCCAATAATGTCACTAATATGATACACCTAGGCACATGGTAGATACTTGATAATATTGGTTGTATGAATGCAACAAAAAATTAAGCAAATCACTTGCTAGGAGTTTTTAAAATAATTTTTTAGTATTTTCTTAAATTGATTTTAGAGAGAGATATATATCAATCAGTTGCCTCCCATATGCACTCTGAAGGGGACTAAACCTAAAACCTGGGTATGTGTCCTGACCAGGAACTAAATTGGCAACCTTTTGGTGCATGGGATGAGATGCCTAACCAACTCAGCCATACTGGCCACGGCTAATTTTTATTTTTATTTTTTATTTTTTAAAATATATTTTTATGAATTTCAGAGGGGAAGGAAGAGGGAGAGAGACATAGAAACATCAATGATGAGAGAATCTTTGATCGGCTGCCTCCTATACATCCCCCACTGGGGATCAAGTTTGAAACCCTGGCCTGTGCCCTGACTGGGAATTGGAACTGTGACCTCCCGGTTCATAGTTCAACTCTCAACCACTGAGCCACACTGGCCAGGTTACTTTTATTTTTTAAGAAGTAATACAAATTTCTGGACTGTTGGAGTGAATAACTTTGAGATACCTGAGTCGCTAAAGAAAAGTGTTAATGTTTATATATAAGCTTTAGAAGCAAAAATGTTTTGTGTTTTTTTTTTTAATATATTTTATTGATTTTTTACAGAGAGGAAGGGAGAGAGATACAGAGTTAGAAACATCGATGAGAGAGAGTCATCGATCAGCTGCCTCTTGCACACCCCCTACTGGGGATATGCCCGCAACCAAGGTATTATACATGCCCTTGACCGGAATCGAACCCGGGACCCTTCAGTCCCCAAGCCGACGCTCTATCCATTGAGCCAAACTGGTCCCGGCATGAAGCAAAAATGTTTTTATACAGTATCTCTTGTGTAGGCTATTTTATTTTATTTTTTTAATTTTATTATTTTTTATTTTTTTTATTATGTATTTTATTGATTTTTTAGAGAGAGGAAGGAAGAGAGTTAGTTAGAAACATCGATGAGAGAGAAACATCGACCAGCTGCCTCCTGCACATCCCCCACTGGGGATGTATTCATAACCAATGTACATGCCCTTGTCCGGAATCGAACCTGGGACTCCTCAGTCCCCAGATCTACGCTCTATCCACTGAGCCAAACCTGCTTCGGCTGTGTAGGCTATAGGCTAATTTATTTATTTATTTGTTTATTTATTTATTTATTTATTTTAAATATATTTTATTGATTTTACACAGAGAGGAATTGAGAGTGATAGAGAGTTAGAAACGTCGATGAGAGAGACACATCGACCAGCTGCCTCCTGCACACCCCCCACCGGGGATGTGCCTGCAACCAAAGTACGTGCCCCTGACCGGTATCGAACCCGGGATCCTTCAGTCCACAGACCGACGCTCTATCCACTGAGCCAAACTGGTTTCGGCTGTGTTGGCTACGTATTTTAGACAATAGAAAATAAGCTATGGATTATTCTCCTAGTAAGTCAGCAATTCTCACTAAAATACCAACAAATTTAAAGTAGCCCTCATGTATGAAATTAGTAATGCTTTACCTAATTTACCATAGAGATCACTTTTTGTGGTTTCATTCCTTTTATACAAAATAAATCTGGAGACTAATACATTCTGTAAAGTAACACCTATTTGTTTTAATGAAATTTTCTGTGTGTACAATTTTGGGGGAAATGAGGTATAGTTTATACACTTTATTAAAGTTAGAATGTTGTTTATTTTTGAAATCTGAATTTCAGAAAGAACGACAAAAAACAGCAGGTGATGGCTGGTTTGGTATGAAAGCTCCAGAATTAACAGATGAACTAAAAAATGATCTCAAAGCACTGAAGATGAGAGCTGGCATGGATCCAAAAAGGTTTTATAAGAAAAACGACAGGGATGGCTTCCCTAAGTACTTCCAGGTATGAAGCAAACAGAATAGTGGTGGTGACATTCTGTGGATTTTAGCTTGAAAAGCATTTTAGTGTGATCTTTCTGTTTACTCTTAGATGAATATTTGCAATGCACATCTGCTCAAGCCATATAATAGTTAGAATCTATTCATACAGCCACCAGCTTGTAATGGCTTTTCATAGAGAGAGACAGTGTTGCAGATGGTAACTAGTTCCTAGGTCAGCTCTCTAAAAGTTAAGGAACCTATAACGTGGATGTTCCATCCATGAATCCTACTAGCTTATGAGCAAGAATTCTTTTAGAATAGAGGGGGAAGGAGGAGTCATTTGTACCAACTCTTCTTTTCAAGGTAGAGGGATATCCCCAGGCAACTAGAAAACAAATTTAAAAAATTGGTTTTCAAAGTATTTTCAGATGAAAGCCCAATGGAGTCATGGAGTCATCCTCTGGAGCTCTCAAGTTCATTTAGTTCTTGACTATCTTTCATGTCATTCATCTGGATTATTTATTAGAATAATCTGTTCTCCCTTCTAGTACATCCTCCATGTTGCAGCTAGTTGTTCTAAAAAAGGGGCAATCTGTTCAGTGATAGCACAAATATCACTTAATGATACCTTCAGTGATTCTTTGTAGCCTTGAAGGGCCTTTCATAATCTGCACCCAAACCAGTTCACCAGCCCTCACTTTGTCACATAGCCCTCTTATGCGTGAACACACTCAACTATTCAGTCTTCTCGGAATAAACACAGACTGTTGTTGGCATGTGCGTGGCTCTGCCATGTTTGCTGGTGAAATTGTACCCATATAAATCCAAGCTAAAATGTCATCCTTTGTGAAACCTTTCTCTCTCTTAGACACAATTGGTCACTCAGTTTTTAGAGCATTGTAATCTTTTGTTCAGCATAATACTGTGTCATGCTTTAATTTTGTAGTTGCCTATCTGTGGATCTTCTAAGACTGAGCTACTCACTGCCTGGGACCATAAGATCTTTATCTTTGCTTCCCTGTTCTTAGGACAGTGCCTGGCTGTCCTATATAAAATTGTTTGAATCTATGAACTAATGAAGAATGGTCAATAAAAAGGTTCTAAGATGACAGGATTTATAATAATCTAGGACAGTGGTTGGCAAACTGTGGCTTGTGAGCCACATGCAGCTCTTTGGCCCCTTGAGGGTGGCTCTTCCACAAAATACCATGGCCTGGGCAAATCTATTTTGAAGAAGTGGCATTAAAAGAAGTTTAAATTTAAAAAATTTGGCTCTCAAAAGAAATTTCCATCGTTGTACTGTTGATATTTGGCTCTGTTGACTAATGAATTAGCTGACCACTGATCTAGGAGATGAAATAGGTGTGAAGTAGAATTTATGTATTGATTTCATTAAATTGGGAAGCTAAAACAGAAGTTTATATTATCTGTCCCACTTTTTTCCTCTAATTACACTTCATCAAGAACTCACTTTACTGTCTAACATTAAATTATATAAGGAATTTTGGGTTTATTATAAACTAATGAAGAAATGTCATTAGGACCTAATGCAGATTGAACAGGTGATTTATTTTTGCTCTTAAAAATGGCAAAAATTAATTTTAATGTTGGTGTAATGTATGTTTATATTTTTCACTTCTATAAATAAGAGCTACTCTGAAATAGGAAAGCAGCATTGCATTCAGGTGTCATATGACTTATTTTATCAATTGCTCATAGATTGGCACCATTGTTGACAATCCAGCTGACTTCTATCATTCACGAATTCCCAAGAAGCAAAGGAAGAAAACTATTGTGGAAGAACTACTGGCTGATTCTGAGTTTAGAAGGTAAAGGAATTTATGTTTCACTTTATAAAATGTATGCTTTCCTTTAGAATATGCGTAAACTTAAAATTTCCTTTAGTATATGCGTAAACTTAAAATTTTAAATGCTTTATTTTAGCATGCTTTCTCAAAAGCAGCACTACTTACATTTTGGATGGAATAATTCTTTATTAGGAGGGCCTTTCTTGTGCATTGTAGGATGTTTAACAGCCTCCTTGGCCCCTTCCCACTATATGCCAGTAGCAATACTCCATTCATAACAACAAAAATGTCTTCAGACATTTCCAAATGTCCCCTGCAGAGCATAAGCATTCCCATTTTAGAACTACTGCTTTAGAGAGATGAAAATATTTGACTGGCTAGAGATGAATGAGCCTGCAAAAAAAGACTAGGAACGAATAACCAAGGGGATATTAAGAAAACCAGGAGGACACAATGACATAGAAGTCAAGGAAAGAATGTTTTAAGCAGGTATAAGCCAGAGGGAGTGATTAACAGAAATGCTGCTGAGAGAGAAGAACTAAAAAAAACTTCCTTTGGATTTAGTTACAGTAACTTTGGCAGGGGCTTTAGGGGAGTGATGGGGAAGAAAGCAACTGGAGAGTGAGTTGAAAATGAAATGGCGTGGCTCTTGTGGCTTAATGGTTGGTTGAGTGTCGAACAGGAAGTCTCTGTTTGATTTCAGGTCAGAGCACATGCCCGGGGTTTTAGGCTCGATCCCCAGTAAGTGGCATGCAGGAGGCAGCCTATCAGTGATTTTTCTCTCATCATTGATGTTTCTATCTCTCCCTCACCCTTTCTGAAATAAATTTAAAAATATATTTTTTAAAGTAAGACTTTTAAGAAGTCTCAGCAATTTAAAAAAAGAAAGTGAAGAATGGACATAACTCTTTGAAGTTCTGTTGTGAAGAGGAAGAGAGAGGCAGGGCAGTAGATGTGGAACAATTTGAATATGTTTAAAGCTCCTTGAAGCAGCTACTTATCTATACTAATAAAAAGGGTAATATGCTAATTAAACAAGGTTGACTGGGACATCTTCCAGTCGTCTGGTCCTCCTTCCAGACAAAGCCACAGTGGTGGGGCCAAAGCAGAGGCAGTTAGGGGCGATCAGGCCAGCAGAGGAGCAGTTATGAGCAATCAGGCTGGCAGGCAGAGGGGTTAGGGTTGACTAGGTAGGCAGGCAGGTGAACGGTTAGGAGCCAGTGGTCCCGGATAGTGAGAGAGATGTCCAGTTGCCATCCTCTGAGCGGTCCCGAATTGGAGAAGGTGCAGGCCTGGCTGAGGGAGACCCTCCCACCCGTGCAGGAATTTCATGCACTGGGCCTCTAGTATATTATAGGAAATTTAGAAGCATACCTCTGCTAAAATCCCAGATTGGTTTAATAGCAAAAATGAAAATATTTATCAAGGGTTCTAAAAATAATATAGATTGTGGGTATGGAAAATGTGCTTTTCTTTGTTAGGTGGTTTTTTGTTTTGTTTCATTTTTTTCAAATTATTTTTATTGATTTTAGAGATAGAGGGAGGGTAGGGGGAGAGAGTGAAACATCAATTTGTTGTTACACTTATCTATTCGTTCGTTGGTGCCCTGACCAGGGATCGAACCCAAAACTTTGGCCTGTTGTAATGATGCTTTAACCAACTGAGCTACCTGGTCAGGACTGGCTTTGTTTCATTTTTAATCTAACCTTAGATTTGTTAGAAAGTCTGTATAAGTTGTATTTTGGGCATTGAATGAGCTGTAAAGTTGTAAAGGCTTAAATAGCTTCTGTTTTAGAGAGAATTTTAGCTAATCCTCGGATTTAGTAATGTAATATCCTGTTTCCCCGAAAATAAGATAGTGTCTTATATTAATTTTTTCTCCCAAAGTTGTGCTAGGTCTTATTTTCAGGGGATATCTTATCTTTCCATTCGCTAGGTCTTATTTTCAGAGGATGTCTTATTTTTGGGGAAACACGGTAACATTTAACACAGTGAATGTGCTTTAAAACAAAGGAATTTTTTATGTTTAGAGAATTTTTTAACTTCGTAATTAACTGGACTGACAGCTTCTAGTTACAACAGCATTATTTTTCTGCAATAAATTGTGCTTCTGTGTTTCCAAAGCTCAATGGGGAAATACAGTCTATAGTAGCAATTCTCTGGTCTGAGGATGCCTTCTCACTCTGAAGAATTACTGAAGACCCAGAGAACTTGTGTTCTGTGGGTTACATTTATCAATATTTACCATAATGGAAATTAGAATTTAGAAACTTTAAGAATATTTATCAATTCATTTTAAAGTAATAAACCCATTACAGATTAACATATTTTCATGAACAAAACAAAAATAATTAAATTTAAATATCTTTAATGTCTGGCTTAAAGACAGTTGGAGCCTCATACCTGCTTCTGTGTCAGTCTGTTGTGATACAACACATTGTGTGTGTAGCCTCAAGAAAACTTCCCTGTATACTCATGCGGTAGGCAACAATGTCAGTATACTTGTAAAATAGTGTTTACTTAATGGACTCCTGGAAGGGTCTCATTCCCAGACCATATTTTGAAACCATTGGTCTTTGGAATATTTCTTAAGGGTCTAAGAAGTATGTTGTGTGTTTATAGGTAAGTGCTAACTTTTTGTTTTACTTAATCCTTTATTTACATTTTTATCTCACAAAAATATTTAAAGCATTTGATATTAGCTGGATGTAGTGCATGAGTTTCCAGTGTCTGAAAGTTTTCAAAAGCTTCCCTCTATAGTTGTCACTTTTTCTCACTAGACTATAAGCTCCGTGAGGGCAGAGAGTTTGACTGTATGGTTTACTCCTCTGCCCTAACTCCTAGTATGGCTCCTAGTATGGCACATAGTGGAACTTATTACAAATATAATGAATAGATGGTAAAAATACAAACACAGGAACTTAGTACAAATGTGATGAATAGATGGTAAAAATGCACACACAAAAAAATTGAAATTTAAAAGCGGGTTCCACCTCACCAAAATGTTACATTAACTTTTAAAGTCTGATTTGTCATACTTTAGAACTTAAAAGTTTGGGTTTTATTTTTAGATATAATCGAAGGAAGTACTCAGAGATCATGGCTGAAAAAACAGCAAATGCAGCAGGAAAGAAGTTCCGAAAGAAGAAGAAATTTCGCAATTAAGATTCGCCAAGCGAGCCACAGTATTTTCTTTTCTTTCTTTTTTTTTTATATATATAAATTTTATTGATTTTTAACAGAGAGAAAGGGAGAGAGATAGAGAGCTAGAAACGTCGATGAGAGAGAAACATCGACCAGCTGCCTTTTGCACATCCCCTACCGGGGATGTGCCCGCAACCAAGGTACATGCCCTTGACCGGAATCGAACCTGGGACCTTTCAGTCCGCAGACCGACGCTCTACCACTGAGCCAAACCGGCTTCGGCAAGCCACAGTATTTTCACTCTCCCCTTTATTTATTTACTAAAGATGTCTTTCAAAACTAACACCATCACAAAAAATTAACATAGACTGGCACTATTTATTTATTGGGATTTTTCTGTTTGGAAAAGTTGATTTGAGTGAGATTCGATCATGTGCCCCTTGGAGTAAAAGTAGATGGGTCTACAAAAACCCAACCCATGTTTAGACCCAAAGAGGGGGGAAAAGGAAAAGAATCTTAACAGATTTAATGGACATTTTGTAAAGTTTTCAATGTTTGGTTATTAAAATTGAATTAAAAGAGATTTAGAAAGTATAATGTTTGTTAACATATTAAAAAAACTTGAATATGATAAAAAAAATATATGTAATTGTATTGTAATTAACAGTATTTTAATTAAAGATGTGGGGGATGGGGTGTGTGTAAGGGAAAGATAGTAGACAGGAAATGCTCTTTTGTTAGCTGTAAATTTAGGTCCAAAAAATACAGAGTTCTGGGCTGAGATACACAGATCTACTGATGGCCAGTATAAAAGTCATAGTTGAAACTAAAGGAATAATACAAAAGGACTTAAAAAATAATGAAGACTACCTAGAAAGATTGGATTAAAGCTGATGAAAGGACTTTCAAAATACCTTAAGATTTTTAAAAAATATATATTTTATTGATTTTTTACAGAGAGGGAGAGAGAGGGATAGAGAGTTAGAAACATCGATGAGAGAGAGTCATTGATCAGCCGCCTCCTGCATACCCCCCATTGGAGATGTGCCTGCAACCAAGGTACTTGTCCTTGACCAGAATCGAACCCGGGACCTTTCAGTCTGCAGGCCGATGCTCTATCCACTGAGCCAAACCGGTTACAGCAATACCTTAAGATCTTAAACGATTTATAAAATGGCCTGTCTTGTTTCAAAATGTTTTTAAGATAGCTTACTTAAAAAATGCATACAACACAGCTATTTTTTTAAGTGAAGAAATTAGAAAAAGGAAATTGAGGATGGAATAAATTAGATGAAGCCAGGTTGAAAGTTAATAAAACAATTCTGTGACACATATGGGCTGTGAAAATTCTAACATCTAATAACAAAAATCAGTTCCATGTCAGTGTTCTGCCAAAAAAACTACTTTAAAGAAACATTCCTATTAAGACCTGAGAAAACGTCCTTGGGTCCTTCCCATAACAAGAATGTGAGATGAGAGGCAATACTTGGCAATCGAGACCATAAATGGCAGAATTTTAAGAAAATGAAAAGGGGTAGGGGGCAGGAGGCTGTATAGAAAAGTTCAGTAGAACCTTCTACTCTTAGAAATAGCACGTAAAGAAATGTTTCCTGCTTTAAAAGTAAAGAAGAAATGCTTCCACTTACTAATAAGAGTCCATGAAGCAGGGTCAACAACATGACCTGTAATTAAATGTCATAGCAGATCAGTGTTTTATCAAAGAAAATATCTCAAAATGAAATGCGAAATTAGGTATGGGGAGTTTCTGATATGGAAAAGGTTATTAGTAAATACTAAACACCAACTGCAAGACAAAAACTGTTTTAGCCTCAGGTGATGGGTGGTTCATCATGCATGTTCATTCCAGTTATTACTGCATTACAAATTACCCCCAAAATCAGTGACTCAGAATAACCATTTTTTTCATTGTATCTCATGATTTGATGGGGCATGGCTTGTTGCTTTTACATGCTATTGAATTAGTAGTATTCAGCTGACAGTTAAGCAAATCTGGAAGGTTCGAAACGCTCCCCAACATGTCTGGCACCTTATAATGTTCTCTTAAAAGTAGAATGATAATTGAAATTTTTCTTAAACAGGATAGCATAAAAATTGCTATGAAACCAAAACAAAACTCACAAGTTTTGTGTGGCACTGAAGGTTCTAGCATGGTTAAACGGCCTCAGCACGTAGTATTTAGGACGTTCTATTTCCCACATACCTCCTTCATAATTGCTCTCTAAGGTAAGGAGAGTTACCAGATTGAAGTGAATAAGGTTGCTGTATTATGAGGTCACCATGTGTAGTCCCATCGCCCTATTAGGGAGAAGCCTATCACCCTCTTCCAAACAAGCGGAAATTGAACTTGGCGGCATTCCTGAGCCAGACTTTTTCTATTAAAGGTAAGGGATGGTGGGTTATTCTTTATGGCTTACCTGAGAAGTTCTGCGGCCAGGGTGCTCTTCTAGAAGTTTGCAAAGCAGGGACTGGTAGGACTCAGGCACCAAATTTCTGACCTCAAACCCCATGCAACATTCTGAAATTTTGACATCTTGTTCATTAATGAAAGAGAAAATGAGTTAGTAGAAGAATAAGTCATAGCTTACCTCTAGAATGTGAACCTTTATCACAGCTTTCACTACAGTCTTCAATAAGTGGTGCTGGAAAAAACTGGACAGATAAATGTAAAAGAGAAATTGGACCACTTTCTTAGACCAAATATGAAAATAAAATGGGTTAAAGACTTAAATGTAAGACCTGAAATTAAACTTATAGAAGAAAACAGGCAAACTCTGATATCAGTCTTTTATCTTTTTCCATATGTCTCCTTTGGTAAAGGCAACAACAAAAATAAAAACTATATCAAATTTTATAAGATTTTGCACAACAAAGGAAACCATAAACAACAAAAAGACAACCTACTGAATGGGAGAAAATTATTTGCAAATGGTATCCCTGATAAGAGGTTAATACCCAAAATATATAGGGAACTCATACAGCTTAACACTCAAAAACTATCCAATTAAAAATGGCAGAGGACCTGAATAGACATTTCTCCAAATAGAACATCTAGATGATCAATAGACAAAAATAAAGCTCAAAATCACTGATCAAGGAAATGCAAATCACAATGATATACCACCTCATACCCATCAGAAATCATTAAGTGCTGGTAAGGATGTGGAGAATAGGGAACTGTTTTGTAGGGATTGTAAATTGGTGCAGCTATCATGCAAAACGAGATTCCTCAAAAAAAAAATTAAAGCAGCCATGTGATAGCAATTACATTTCTAGTTATGTAGCTGAAGAAAACAAAAATAGGACCTCAAAAAGATGTATGCATCCCTATGTTCACTGCAGTATTATTTATAATAGCCATGATACAGAGCAACCTTGGTGCCCATTGATAGGTGATAAATGGGTAAAGATGTGAATTTACATACAATGTAATATCCTACTAGAGGCTCGGTGCATGAATTCATGGGTGGGGACCCTATGCCTGGCCAGCAATTGGGGCCAATTGGGGCTGTCTTGCGCAGTCCCCATGGTTGGTTGGCCAGCTGGGGAGAGACTGCAGGAGAGCTCCAGGGCATGTCCAGCCCTGTCTTGCCCAGTTCTGATTGGCCATATCCCAGCAGTAAGCTAAACTATCAGTGGGAGCGTCTGCCCCTTTTAGTCAGTGCGTGTCATAGCAAGTGGTTGGTAATATGCTAATGATATGGCCTTAGCATATCATTAGCATATTATGCTTTGATTGGCTGAATGGTTGACTGGATGACCAGACACTTAGCATATTAGGCTTTTATTATATATAAGATATATATAATAAAAGCCTAATATGCAAATTGTCCCCATGGGTGGGAGTTCAACTGACCAGGAACTAGACGTGTGCTGATCACCAGGGGGCGACGTGGCACTGGTAGCAGGCAGCAGTGGAGATGCTGCTGGCCCTGATGGACCCTAATGGAAGTGGGACCATGGTGGGATGGTGGAGCAGGTGAATGGGAGGCGCTAGGCCAAGGCGGGTGCAAGCTGGGGCCCTGGTCACCCCACAGACCAGCCCTAATTGCTGGCCAGGCCTAGGGCCCCTACCTGTGCATGAATTTCATGCACTGGGCCTCTAGTTCAGCAATAAAAGGTACGAAATCTTGCCATTTTTCAAGAACATGGTTGGACCTAGAGGGTATGATGCCAAGTGAAATGAAAGAACAGCCTGGCCACCGTGGCTCAGTAGTTGAGCCTCAACCTATGAACTGGGGTGGGGGTGCGGGGTCACCGTTTGATTCCAGGTCAGGGCATATGCCTGGGTTGTGGGCTCGGTCTCCAGTGTGGGGCAGCAGGAGGTGGCTGATCAGTGATTCTCATTATTGATGTTTCTATCTCTCTGAAATGAATAAAAACATATTAAAAAACAAAGCAAAACAGAAACAGACCCATAGATATAGAGAACAAGCTGATGGTTACCAAAGGGCAGGGGGGTAGCAGAATGGGGGAGGGCCCTTGGAATTTATCTGTAACATATGACCTTCCAACCAAATCTGTCACTTCTCCCTACTTCAGCTATGACAGAAGGTCATCTCAGCTGCCTTGATCTGGAGGGTAGCAGATGTCCAAGTGAAATAAAAGGTTGTTAAACTGGTCCAGTGCCTTTCCTTGTTCTTCATTTGATCACAACTTTAGCCCTTGTTGCATATTTTACCTGACTATAGTCCTTTAGGGTTGACTTATATTTTTTAATGAAATAATTATCCTGATTTAGACTGAGACATTGGAATCATGATGACCCTACAGTTCCTCAAGCTCAATCTCATCAATTTCAATTACCTTCATTTCCACTGCACCTCAGCTAATCACTGTCATGGCCTTCGACTCATTACTTAAATCTACAATGGTCAGGATTTTGAGCTCTTGACAATTTCAATCCACTTTCCTGTTAGACTTCCCTCTTTTCTTTCCGACCCAACCTTGGCTGCAGTTGTAATTACCTATTGTGATTTCAAAAATACTGATGCCTGGGCCCC